GGGGGGGGGGCCTAGCCAGTACAGTGACCCAAGCCCATGACTTTGGTGTTATGAGGCTGCACCCTAGCCAACTGAGCTAACCAGCCAGCCCAAAAATATTCTTTATAATTTTTTATCAGACCAAAATTCAATCAAGTACCCCCACATTACGTTTGGTTATGCTGCTTGTTCCATTTATTTATTTTTAAATTTGTTTATTTTTGGCAGCTGGCCAGTAAGGGGATCAAAATCTTTGACCTTGGTGTTGTAACACCACTCTCTGACCACCTGAGCTAACTGGCCGGCCCCTCTTTTTTCTTTTAATCTACGGCAATTCCCTCCACTACCATCACCCTTTTTTTTTAATATATGTTTTCACGATGTTGACTTGAAGAAAGAGCCAGAATGTCCCACATTCTGGATTTGTCTTGTTTTCTTGGGATGTCGTTTAACTTGCTCTTCTTTCACTCTGTCTTTTCTGAAAACTGGAAGTTAGACTAAGGCTTGATTATAGACTCAGGTTAAACATTGTTGGTAAAAATAAAAGTGATGCTACTTGCATTGTTTTTAAAGAGCCATATTGCTCTTTTAGAGTGAACTAGGAGCAGAGAAATAGGGTTCAGTCCTTGGCTTTGCTGTTTACCAGCTATATGTGTTTGGACCAGTTACTTTGTTTCTCTGAGCCCTGGCTTCTCACCTAAAAGAAGAAAATAATGCCACTCACCTCAAATGGTTGTTTTGAGGGTTAAGTGAAATAATATCTATGGAAGTATATTAGAAAGTAACATACACACTTGAGGTAAGATTGGCAGCTGTACATACAAGAAGATTATTCTGCCCAGGAATATTTTAGTTTAAAACTGAGAGTGCTGCATCCCAGAAACCCCTGCAGTCCTGGATGAACCAGGACAGTTGGTCACCTACCGGCAGCAAATGTGATGGTGTGTACTTTATCTGAGATAGTGCTGTGAGCTTCTCACAAGTCTGTGCTACAAATTCTTAGAAGAGGTTGGCATTGAAAATGAAGACCTAAACTTCTGTGACTAGGTGGCACTGTTGCTAATGTGGAACTGTCTTTTATCTGAACAGGTGGGGATGCATTCCAAAGGCACTCAGACAACAAAGGCAGAGATGGAAATGGATCCAAAGCCTGACCTAGATTCAGATTCCTGGTGCCTTCTGGGAACAGACTCCTTTCGACCCAGCCTATAGTCTCTGAGCCTGTATAGGCCCCAGGAAACTGGGATCCAAAGAACTTCACAGCACACTTACTGAATGCAGAGAGCGGCTTTCCTGGCTTTGTTCACTTGCAGACAAGGGGCGCAAGGTAGAGGCTCTGAAGCACTTTCCTTGTACATTTGGAGAGTAGCATTGCCTTTTAGGTAGGATCTAGGAGTGATTTTATTGTTTTGGAGAATGGAAGGGCCCCATGGTCCTGGCTTTGTCATCAGTGACTGCCACAGCAACAGCAGCTCTGTACCTCATCTATCGATCCCACCTTTGAAAAGGAGACACAGTGCTCACCTTAATTGCGCTGGTAGCAGCTGATATCCCATTTATCATTTTCACCATTGATTGGAAGCTGCCTTGGGAATTCAATACCAGGCATTGCACCTCTAGGTGGGGGAGGGAAAAGTGTAAAGCTAGAGTAGGCCGGAACCAGGCATGGCCCATCTGGGGTCCTCTGGAGAGTGGTGAAGTATTCTGATCCCTTTTAGGAGCCCTGAGTCCAGAAAATACGTCTGGTGGCGTCAATCTAGGGCTTGTTTTCAGAAAGTTCAGTTAATTCATGCAGCTAAATGCTTTAGGAGGAAAAGTGGGTTTAGATTGCTTTTCCTCTAAGAGTTGATTGCAATGTCTTCAGTGAGGAGTAGAGAAAGGGCAGGTCACACAGCTGGAGTTTCAGGCTGTGGCTGATGCAGGGTGGGATTTCCTAGCTTTGGAAGATACCTCTGAGGGATGAGGTGTCTCTTAGAGAGTTGAGTCAGTGGAGCAGTAGGAATAGCCTTAAGAGAAAATTGTGAGGGAGAGGAGGTCCTGCCTCTACTTGGTTTCTTAGAGAGGGCTTTGAATGACTCTGAGTCTTCTGCCCCTGAGAAGGCTTCTTGTATCTCTGCCTTCATGGCTCTTAGGGTTCTAATTTTGACATCAGCAGCCCCAACCACTCCTTTTCTGTATGTCTAGTCAGTATTTTTCCCCTTTTGGTGTTTTATGAAGCCATATCATAGCCAGTGAGTCTGTATCATCTTTCCTACTTGAGTGGCCCAGAGCCAGCACCAAACCCTGGAAGTCCTGGAAGCCTAACAGAACAGGTAGAACCTGCTAAGTGAAAGGAATTTGACTGAAAGCTTACTTCTTATCACACATACATTTGTCCTCGTAGACAGGAGAAAGCTAGCTTTCCCAAAGAAATGGTGTCCTAGAAGAACAAACTTCATATAGAAAGTTCTAGGCAAGCATTTGACCGTTTCACTAAAGACTATGAGCTTTGTGTTTCCATCTAGCCTTATGAAATGTTCCTTTAGTATTTGGGGTTACAGGAGCTTCTTGGATAAGTCTTACATCCTGTGTCCTTACAAATAACTAAATTAATTTTGTTTCATTTTCCCCAAATCAAAATATGTTTGATATCTGTTTATTGTAGGGGGACCTGTGCAGTGGAAATTTTGCCATTTCCCTAAAACTGGTGGTGTGAAGGCTGATGCTCAGGGAAAACCCCATGGCTGGGGATGGGCAACTCTGTTCAATGGGATCTTCTTTGGTTTGATGTTCCCATTGTTTTCTCAATTCTGGGAAGCCTAGTACAATAGTACTAATGTAATCACTGAAGCCTCTTGAAATAAGAGAAGGGGCCTACCCTGGATTAAGGTTACAAGTTCTGGTTACTTGGGGGTTTGCTGTAAACTCTAACAATGGGTTTTGGTTCATCATATAAATGTAATTTTGATTTTCTTAAGAACTGACTGGCCTTTCATGTCCCTGTATCCTCATGCTCACTGTCTCAGCAGGCCTGAGAGGCAGGGTCAGTCTGGGTGTTCATCATGAGGATTGTTTCTGCTATGGAGCTGAGGGACATGGGCACGTTGCTGAAAACTGTGGGGTGAAAGTGAGTATTGAGAGTGGGGAGGATTGAGAGTCCTGCTTTTGTTCCCGAGAGAAGTCATTCCCTAGCAGTGGAACACTGTGGTCATTAGCTCTAGCAAGTTCCCTTAGGAAGGCTAGATTTGGTATAAATCTGGCTGAGAATCAAAGTTTTGTGCCTTAGAGACAATTTGCACTTTCCCAAATTGTGCCTGGGACAGCCATATGATTTTTCCCACCTGACAACTATGCAAACAGAAACCAGTTCAAAGGTGGCAGCCATGTGTTGGATAGAGTGAAACGTGAGGCAGTAGAAATGCCTTTGAATGGTTTTCTGTAGCTAATTCTCTAAATTTTGTCTGCTTTTCTTCTTCATGCAGTACAGGTGTTTTAAGTTTTCCAGTAGTATTGCTTTTGAGTTATAATCTGAGTTATTCCTTTGCTCTGACATTGTTGCTGAAGAACTAGCTTATTGTTAGCCAGATGCTTGAAAGGTTGAGGGTGGAGTGGTTTGACATTTCGGTTTTAAATAAACATTTAAACTCTCAATCAGTGCTGTGCCTCAGTAAGCCTGCGCACGGACCTTAATCACTGGGAATAAAACACCCAGATTCTAGGCCTTTGTGGATCTTTGATTCAGTGAGAACAGAAACAACACAAGGACATTTGCACAGAAATAATCTTTGCTTCTTTCCATTTCCTTATTCTTGCCGGCAGAATAATTGCTGCTGCCACAACTTTTTTCCCAAAATCTTAAAGTGCTGAAAGTGCAGATGTAGAAAGTGAGCCATTATAAAAAGGATCCTTCTTGTACTTACCTCCTCAGTCTCAGTGGGGGGCTTTTCCAAATGTAATGCCAATCTGTGTTTATAAAACTTTTCCCTCAACGAGGTTGAACTGTAATTGGTCTCCCTGGCATAGCACAGCCAAGTTATAACTTCTCTTGGCTGAGTATTTCACTAAAGTTTAAAGCAAAAGCAGACTAAAACTCAAGTTTCACTTGGTTTGCCATATATTTGGAAAGATTCATAATAGAAAGAACAGCTCAGGAGCAAAATGTATGTTAAATAAATTCATTCAAATGAGATCCCTGGGCCTCCAAAGAAGTATTATTCATGATAGTGTCAGGGCAAAGTAGGCTGTAGTCAGGACTATAAAACATGTTCCTTCCTGCTGCAAAGCCAAAAATCATTTATTGCTTCAATGATTAACTATGAAAATAAACATGCTGATCATTAAACCTCACAGAATCATGAACATTAGGGATAAAAACTCCACTATGTCACATCTCTGCTACCTCCTGTGTAGTTGTGGAGAGTGATAAATTGATGACTGAAAGCAAATGTTGGCCAGAACGTACTGTGCTGCATTAAATACATTGCTGTTTAGAAATATCATCTCAGCACGTCTGCATACACTTTTAAATGAAATGAGTTTACATCTGAGTTTCATCATGAGATTTCTTTCCCATTGCTTAATCTTTTGAACTTTAAAATTTATAACATTTACTTGCACTAAAGTTTCTTAGATAAACTAGTATAAAATATGGACAATAACAAGCAGCATTTATTTATCCACTGTCATCCTTTGAGATATGCAGGAAGAGACTTAGATAGAAAAAGATTTACCTCTTCCCAAAGACCAGATCAAGCTACATTTAAAAGACTAATAGATATTAATATAATCAAGGCCTAAACATATAGAGATCAAAGGGAACACTAAGGCATTGACTATTGTTTTATTTCTTCAGCAACATAAGAATGAATAACTGCTTCCTTGTGTCTATAGAAAGCATTCCCCCCACACACATTTGTTCTCTCTGGAGGGCCCTGATCTATGACCTTAACAATGTCATCCAGGGATCCCAAACCCAAGCACTATGGGGCCAGGCAGATAAATAAGTGAAGCAGGCCAGGTGGGGCTGTGGTGATATGGTATCACCTGAAGAAGCAACTGATTCTGAACCCCACCCAATTCGTGCTATGCAGGTTGCTGGCCCAGTGTTGCCAGAACTTCCAGTTTTTCAAGAGATGCTCCATATCCCAATTTTTAAATGACGGATCAGATTTTTAATGCTGTGCCAGCCAAATAAAACACATCTGTGAGGTAAAGCAGTCCAAAGACTGTGGCTTGGTGGCATTGACCACAGCTTATTCTTGCCATTTATTGCTTACTTGTCAGGGGAATGTACATATTGAGTTAAATATGCAGTGTCTCTATGTGTGCTTTCCTTAAGGAGCTAAACAAAACCCACATTAAGTGATATCTTTTTTTCCTTTGGAACAATTAAAAAGAGCACAAAGCAATTCAATATATGTTGCTCTTTAAATACACAATTTGTTTTTTCATCCTAGTGTCCTGCAGCTTTACTGCTAAAGCCTTAAATTCACATTTCAAATTGGTCTGATCTGTTAGCCCAGCGACTCAGCAGAAACTGCAGAGGAAATGGAACAAGAGTGAGTGGCCATTTGTTACTTAGTAAAATACAGTTTTGTTGTCTGCCCAGTCCACTTTACAGAGTTCAAGTTGGATGGTTTTTCTCCAGTATTTTAAACTAGCAATTTGAGTAATGCTCTCAGGACAGTAATCCTACTAGTATTTATCATCCATTGTGCTACTTCACTCCTATCTAAACTGATTTTACCACCTCAGACATTAACTTATTGGTTCCCCTATTTTACAAGTCTAGGACTCACTCATTTTTTGTTTAATTTTAAATCCCCAAAACCCATTAATTGAAGGCCTAACTTGTGCTAGGCACTATTCTACACAGAGAAAATTAAAAAGACCTAGTCCCTTTGCCTTCCAAGTTCACTCTCTAAAATAGAAGTTGACTATGCTGTAATTAGCAGGGACATGTGACACTATGCAACATTGCTTTGATGGTAGATTTTGCTGCCTCATTTAAAAAGTCGTTCAACCAACCTGATTTGAAAGCAGAGTGCTAGCAACAAGCTGAAACTGAGGTTTCTTCCTTTTTTCTTTCCTTTTTTTTTTTTTTTTTTTTTGGACTTATGAAACCCATTAGAAAAGAACAAATAGAGGAAAATATAATGTGCCTTCCCTCCATCCCTACCCTGTAAAGTACATAAAGATATCTCCTTTATTACACAGTACACCATAGGGAAGGTTTAAGATACACTGGTACACTAACCTTGCACATTTTTATTGGCTTTTGGCCAGGACTACATCATGGAGGCCAAGTATATACTTCCATTAATAATGCCTTACAGAAAAATCTTATTGTCTTTTTGAGAGTTACCATCTGGGTGAGCACTGTCCTCTGACACCAGCTCATCCTAACACTCCAACTTCTTGCAAGAGCAAGAATAGTTAACAGGAACCACAGACAAACATGCAGTGACTGGAAGGCACAACCAAATGCAGACACTTCACTAGCACAAACCACGAATCAGGCTTGCAAGAAGAAAGCTTTAATGTAGCCTGCTCACTACTATTCAGTGTCTTCACCCATCAGTTCTATCAAGGCAATAACAAGGCACACCAGCCAGGGGTTGTAATTTAGTGGGAAATTGAGGCTTCCTTCTGCTTCCTGCTGCTTGGCAATGGCTCTCTCCTCACTGGTTTTAGCTTTGCAGGCAAATCTGGGAGATGTAAAAGTTTTGTTACTTTCTGCTTTGTATGAAATTCTACTCCCATTTATTGCTGAAGAGAAGCAGAGCATTCTGAACTATCCAAGGAGGTTTCCACTGTTGTCTGCTCAACTGTAATGCTTCCTTGGAGGTGGAGGACGGTTCTTGATGGTCTTACACTTGGGAATATGTCGCTCAGCCACTTTGGGAGCAAAGTGGCGGCTACAGTGAGGACACTGAATATAGTCTGGGTTTTCTGCAGGCAGGATGGGAGGCAAGTCAGAAGGGTTTCCACCTTTGGCAATTACCTGCTGGACCTCTCGAGCATGACGGAGGGTACGGATGAAAGATTCATGCTTCTGCCTCCAGTTGCTCTTCCGAGGAGGTTCAGCCTGTAGTGTATAAGGAAGATTTAAACTTAAATATGATTAGGCAGCCAAGGATCACCAGTCATTCAACTTGGCATTTATCTCTCCTTCCTGAGTCTCCATTAGAATGACAGAATGGAAATAAGGGTGTTAATCCACCAGGTCAAAGAGAACAAGAAAGGAGCAATAGTGATGACTGACTTGCCAGAGTGGAGGTACTTAACCAAGGGCCTGCAAAGGGGGATACTACTGAGAAAGGCAGGCCACTTTCCCCAGCAGAACCCCTGAGACGTTCAGTGCTAAGAAGTACCAAGTAGTGGGAAGAGAGAGGTGCAGGGCTGAAAACAAGCTGAACCCCAGTGCTCCTCTCCCACCTTGCACATCCAAGTGTCCTACACCCTCAGCACCCTCACAAGAGAACAGGTTTATTCTCTGGAGAAACTGAACTGGACAGGCTTCAGACTCAGAAAATCCAGACAGAATGGAGAACAAAGTTAATCTTGGGGCTGAAAATGGGGTTTAAGTGCAAGTGTACATAGAGAACAGGTTTATTCTCTGGAGAAACTGAACTGGACAGGCTTCAGACTCAGAAAATCCAGAGAGAATGGAGAACAAAGTTAATCTTGGGGCTGAAAATGGGGTTTAAGTGCAAGTGTACATTCCAAATTTTGAACTGTCAACCTCCTTTCCCCACTCAGCTTCCAGAGTACCAAGTGCATTGATATCCTCTAATGAAAGAGAAGGGTTCTCTGGATGCACTGGGTGGTTTAGAGAAAAGCCTTCAGACACTGACCTTGAGGAACCCTAATTGAAATTCAGCTCAGTATTTGATAACCTTAATATGAATGCCCTTAGTCAACAAGCCCCACTTAAGCTTAAATATGATTAGACAGCCAAGGATCACCAGGTATTTGATGAAAGCTCTAACAAGAAAAAGACCTCAAAAGATATACAAACAAAAACCCAGGATGCAGCAACAAGGGAGACAGCAGAAGAAGACTTTTTTTTTTTTTTAACAAAAAAACCATAATATCATCATAATATATCATCATAGTATCATCAGAAAAGGATGATGTTCATTTCAAATTATTATAGCTCATTTCTTTTTTTTCCCCTGAGCTAAGTCAGCAACATTTATTTTTGATATTGTTTTCACTTAATTTTGAAATAGGCATTACATTTACGTGCTTCAAAAAATATTAAAAGATATAGTGAAAAAAAAACATAATATCATCAAAATGAGTATTAAAAGAGATTGTGCCCATAAAACAAGAAGAGTATATTATGAAAAAGGAATGACCAGAGAACCAGAAAGAATTATTATAAATTAAAACTTTGATAGTTAAAAATAAAAATTAAATAGAAGTGTTGTAAAACAATGTCAAGAACATTTTTCAGAATGGGAAAAGAGATCAAGATGGAAAGTAGAAAAGAAAGATTAGAAAATGAGAAAATTAATCCAGGAAATCCAACATGTGACCAATAGGAGTTCCAAAAAGAACAGAGAAAGAAAGCACAAGGAGAAAATTATTAAAGAAATAATACAATTAATATTTCTAGAATTAAAGGTCACAAGTCTTGAGACTAG